GATATTGCAGATGTTTTTAAAAGTTATCTCTTATTTCAGAATTAAAGTATTTATAGATAAAATGGTAATAATCTAGCAAGGGTAAGGGTGTCCTAGATGAGACAATATTGGCCATATATCAATAAATGTTCAAGCTAGGTGAATAGTATATTAGGATTTATTGTACTATTACCTCTACTTTTGTGTGTTTGAAATTCCCATAATAAAAAGCTTTTAAAATTAAAGAGTTGAAAAAAAATAAAAGATTTCAACTTAATTGGCCGGACTCATGCAGCTGCTGAATTTGAGGAATTCTTCAGAACTCTTTGCTACTTGTTTTCCACCAGAGTTTGAAGTTGTTGCTTTGCCCTCTCAGTATAAACAAGGGCTGCAGGACATAGGTTTAGAAGCATAAACATTTCCTACCAGGTACTTCTCAAAGTAGCTGATTTAGAAATTAAAGGTAATCCCAGGCACTTCTTCTAATTTGGAGATTTCAGTTACTATTTTTTTTTTAGGGTTACTTTATGATGGAAAATATTCTGAAGAGCAAATCAGATACCTTTTTTTTGCTTTATTCACAGGATTAAATATCACCAATTACTTCTTGCTGCAGAGAAATGGGAACTTTTATTTATTTACATTATTTGAGAGCTAAGGAGAGGGGAAGAGGAGAAACACTGATTTATCATTCCACTTATTTCTGCATTGATTGATTTGTTATTCCACTTACGTACGCATTCATTGGTTGTTTCTTATATGTGCCCTGGCCAGACTGAAACCCTGGCTTATGGAGACAACACTCTAACCCACTGAGCAACCTGGCCAGGGCGAGAATTGGGAACTTTGGCATTTAACCGAATAAGGGAACCCAGTCTGAAAAAGCCTAAAATTTCCAGTTAACTAATTACTGAGGAGAAAAGGACGTGGCAAATAATCAAGGTCAAAAGTTGAGTTTGGGGAGCATGGCGATTTCTTTCCCCAGGTGGGTACATCTCTCACAGAATGCTTTCAGAAGTTCGGCAGGAATAAGCCACGCCTTTGGTAAACGTTTATAAACTGATATAGCAAGAAAAGCACATCTGAAATAATTCACATACACACGCATGTCACCATCTTAGAGTGTTCTTTATGGGTTTAGAGTTAGACCAACACAAGCTGAAAAAAAATCATTATTTGCCTTTTTTACTTCCTTTCTGCCTGTTCAACTGAATTATGAAAGGTGAAGGTAACGCTAGGAAAGGCCTCCCCACACTCATCCTTCCTTCCTCGCACCTTGCTCTAGGCTCCTGAGGGAGTGCCCTCCGTTTTCTGCACCACTGCCTGGCCTCGCTTCTGGTTTCCAGCCGCCTGTCTTCTCTGCCTGCAGATCACTTCCCAGGCTGAAGAAAACCCACCGGTGCCGCCAGAGTCTACCTGAGTCGATAGAAAACAAGGCATCTTGCATTATCTGGGGCCTTCCATGAAGACCCGATTCAAATCTGTGAGTAAACAGAAACAGCAGGGTTCAGATAAAAAGCAATACATTTCTATTCTTAACTGCGACTGTTTTTGTTTTTATACAAGACCCATCTGCTTAATCTGAATGATGGAAAGAACAATAAAACCCGTCCACGCTCTCAGAAATACAGTGCACTGGACTGCCTGGGCTGCCTAATATTCAAGTGGTCAGAACCCCCATGATCCCAGGATAATGCAAGACAATCTCTGTGGAGAGCGGCCACAGCGTCTGGACAGGTTCAAGCCTCGGGCTGAGAGGGCACAGTCCTCATGGTCAGTACAGGTCCGACGCAAGACAATCTCTGTGGAGAGCGGCGACAGCGTCCGGACAGGTTCAAGCCTCGGACTGAGGAGAGGGCACAGTCCTCATGGTCAGTACAGGTCCCAGCTTGGAGGGCAGGGCCCTCCCAGCACAATTACAGTCAGCAGCTATGGTTGTGAGCTTGAACCTATGGTCCAAACACTGGCCCCACGTGGCTGAGTGATGTGAGCTTGATCGAGTTCAGGTGCATGTAACTGAGTAGGATCGAAACTCATGGAGAATGTTGTAAACACCTTGACCATGCCCTTACTTTCCCTCGTGGAACCTGGCTATAAAATGAAGACAGGGCTTGTAGTCCCTGGTGCTGTGGCTAGCTCTCCATCAGAGAGGACAGCGTCCCACCCAGACTCAGCTTTCTTCTCTTGTCTGTCTTTTCTCCATCCTTCACCGCCCCCACGCAGGGTCACCGAACCTGGCCGAGCTGGGTGGCACATCTCCACGTCCTTGTGCAATTTATCTAGCTACCTTCCTTGATAGATGATAGATATTGTTTCCAACACTTCGAGTTTCTTGGAGTGTTTTTTGGGGAGTTGACATTTAAAACTTCCTCTAGAGCAGTGATTCGCAACCTTGGCTGCACATTAGAATCACCCGGGAATCTTGGTAAAAACCCGATTTCTGGGCCTCATCCTCCGGACATTCTATTTCGTTGTTACTAATGTTGTGGCCCCACCCCATAACCAAGAAACAGAATTTCCGGAGGATGAGGCCCAGAAATCAGGATTTTACAAAGATTCCCAGGGGATTCTGATGTGCAGCCAAGGATGAGAACCACTGCGCTAGAGGAAGGTCTAAATGTCTCTTTGCACGTCCACGGTTACTCACTATTAACAGCTGTATGCAAAGCGCTCTCCACAGGTCACCATACAGGTGGCACCATCGCTGCGAAACCCCAACTCATCTCCCGTTACGGTTCTCTTTTCACTCCAGGGCACTGCTCTCGGGGGGCCTGGGACAGACACCCCCTTAGAAGCGCCGTATATCCGTCCTGCCCACCCCCGTTTATCTCACGGGCACTCGCTGGTACGCGCGGAGCGCCCATCTGGGACGGAACCGGCTCCTGGGCCGGTTTCCCATGGACACGCACATAAACTACCCGCTGGCCGGGGTCCGACTCCGGAGTGTGCGCCGGTCTACACTCCCCGCCCTCCCCCGGCCGCCCTGTGGGCTTCGGTTTCAGGGTAAAAGCAGATGGAAAGGTGTTGGTGTGCGCGCCTTGCGCCGCCTGGAAGCCCTCGCCGGCGTTCAATGCGTAAACATCCTGCCCACAGGAGGGAAAAACAACAAACACTGAAGGTTGTCTGCGGGTCAAACACGTTCCCAGGGCACAGGCAGCCGCAGTACACGCGACTCCCGAAGAGCCGGGGTGCATGGACCTGCAAGACACATGGGCGCCGGGGACGGAAGCGCGCGGAGGCCAGGAGGGAGATTCAAAA